CCCCCCGACATCACCGGAAGTGACAGAAGGCCACACCCCCTGACATCACCGGAAGTGTGTCAGAAGGCCCGGCTACTTACCCTCCTGCTTCATCCTCATTCCCAAACGGAATGAGGATCGAAGCAGAGGGCGGGGTAAAGAAGGGGGCGGGGCTTCACCACGTGACCGCCCCGCCCCCTAGAGGTTCTCTTCCGGAGCTCCGTACCTGAGAGCTCCCCCCCGACTAGAGCCCTGGGTATAACCCACTCATTTATTTAATTATGCATTTTATTTAAAACATGCATACCTCGCCTTATCTCCTTAGACTCAAGACAGCTCACTCGTATGTATTTGACAAAGTTGCCTCTGGCTCATGAAAGCGTACGTCACAATAAATCTGTTAATCTATAAGGTGCCACAAGCCTATTTTGTCATTTTGGCAACAGAAACCTGTGAGGAGGCTTGCCAGATTATCCGCTGTGGCATGCAACCAACTACCCCAGCTGGCTCTCCAGTGCTCTCTTTTCAGAAGGGGGGGGGGAGAGAAGTCATGGATGATTTCTGGTTGCCGTGTCCATGATGCTCTAGGCATTCCCCTAATTTCTATGGTTTTATCATAGCTATTGGGGGAATTCCTACAGCACGGTGCAATGCAGTGGCACCATTTCTAGCCCTTCACCAGGCAGGCCGGACAGCCCTACCTGTGACATTGCATCAGTCCTGTGCAGAACGGCATCTTACACTAAATGGAAGTCTTTGGATCATTTAGGAAATAGGCTGCTACCCTCAACATTTTGCTAGGCAGGGCTTGCACTTTATCAGCCTGAACTGTTACTTTTCACTTTATTCGCGTCTCAGTTTCTTGGTATTAAAGCCCACTTCCTGCATTATTCTTGTAATGTAGGTGCTGCTGACAATGCAATACCTAGTTAGTTGTTTGTATAGAAGGGTATCGATATCATTGTGCTACTTTAATTATGCTAGCTAATTTCCCTGAAAGAGGAAAATGCAACTCCACACACACAAAAAATGTCTACAAAGACTGGTGCCACAAAGTTCCCTTTTCTCAGTGGCAGCCACACTAACTGACCAATGCAAGAATTAAGTTGAATCTTCATAAAGTTCTTGTACACACATGGCTTCTTTTTTCAAAATCTGTAGAGTTACATAATTGCACTTAAACATTCCCTATAACTGGGCGGGAGGGTTTTGTTTTTCTTTTTTACAAGGAATTGTTCAACTCCTCTGCTCCCTCCTCGAGAGAAAGTAGCAGAGAAAATCAGGAAGGTGTGTCTATAATGAATTTTTGTAATAATTTTTAAAAAGAGGGAAAGGCTTCAAGGAAGGAAGGAGTAACAGCTGGAAACAGAGATATCAGGCAACTGAAATCCAACTGCTAATAACACATCATGGATGAGGTATTGATTGTGGTGCAAAATCCTCAGGAAGCAAAACCCCAAACAGAAACAATCAAGTACATATCATGAGCTCTTGATACAGCTTCAGTACTTTTCTAGGGTGTTTCCAAATGCCATGGGACATATTTGCCACCTGTAGGAAGACTCTGTCAAAAGCCATCCTTACTCGACCTTACTCTCTGAATGGAAAATCAATGGGAAACAGCCATCATGACTTATGTAGGATCACCAGCTCTCTGGGACAAGCCTAGAAACCAGGCATCTATTTAGCATGCCTCAGAAACCACATCAGAGCAAGGAAAATATTCTCTCTGCTCTGTGCCCATTGTGGTTTTATGAATAAATACCATTAAACTTGTTTCACAAGACTATCGGGTCAGTGTTAGTACCGCAGTAGGGGTGGGATGGAAGGATCCTTCTTATTTGTGTAAAGCCTTAAGTAATGGCAAAAATTGTCTCCAAAATAGAGCAAATCAGTATGTTTTTTAATATAAGTGAAATACCCTTCTCTGCATTGGTTTTCTCAAACGTAACAAATTATAGGAGGTATCCTATCGGTCCTGTCTGCCTTGGCAGTGGCTCCTCCAGAGTAGAAGACTGGAGCCATGGGTCATGCAGAGTCTCTATTTGCATACCGGTGCTGTAGCCTCATAGGAGACCACAGCTCTTGGCCTAATTTCTTTCTTTCTGCATACTACCGGTTCTCCTTTGGTATATGGCATTGCAATTGCTGTTTTAAATATTTATTAAAGGGGGAAATGAATTTTATTCATTCTTCTTATGGGAATAAGCAAATTGCCAAATGTAGATAATAGATTTGCATTACTTGAGCTTCTAAATGCTCTTTCTAAGTAATATGGTGCCAAAGAAAAGGGGAGGGGGTCCCTTTGGGCCACCTCCTGGGCTACCTGTAACCAGCTTGGTTCTCTCTACATGCCATTAAGTGATAAAGAGCCACTGGCTTCAAAACTCAGTGTGTGTGTGTGTGTGTGTGTGTGTGTGTAAAGTGTCATCAAGTCACAAACAAGTTATGGTGACCCCAGGAAGGGGATTTCAAGGCAAGTAAGAAGCAGAGGTGGTTTGCCATTGCCTTCCTCTGCAGAGTCTTCCTTGGTGGTTTCACTTCTAAAAGTACTGACCCTGCTTAGCTTCTAAGAGCTGACAAGATTGGGCTATATCATGCCATCTTCTCTCTTCAAAGATCAATTCTGGTATTAAAGGGTCTGCCCATCCTAGAGAGCTGGTGAGCTTGTATTTATAGGGTAAAGCTTTACATGCCAACTGGCCAACTTCCATACAATTGCTTCATTGCACTTCTGTCTCCCGCCCTTCAATCTACAAGGGACCTGCGAGCCCTTGGAAGAACAGACTCACTTATTGTAAATAAAGTCCACCGTGCTCTGGATTACATAGCAACAACAAATATAAAGCTCTGCACTAATATAATTCCCTTACTTAATAAAAACAACACAGAGGCTAAAAGCTGCATACACATATCTCTCACAAGCATTTAGAAAACACACACACATATATTTGGGAAAACAAATGCACTCTGTAATGCGACAATATGCCTCTGGCACAACTCTGGCTACCTAGTTGTAGTACTGGCTAATTGGCTGTAGAAAGGTGCATATATTTGAACAAACAGTGGCGAGCTGTAGAATATAATGTTATATAAGCAAGAAGGGGTGAAGGAGTTAGGGAGAAGACCAAATCTGCAGAAATGTAATAGCCAGAGTGCGGAGATCTGGTTCTGACTCACCTCTTGCTATTTTTTTTAAAGCAGTAAAACAAAACCACACAAGCCAAAATGACAAGAAGGTAAATACCCACATTATAGAGAAGGCTCCTTTGGGGAAATGACAAAATAAATTTTGCACATAAAGCACAAGGCAAATAAGGGTTCTGTTTGACCTTCTCCTCCTTTTCCCCACAGTAGACTTTCATTGCCAGTGTCAGGGTCTTCCATTAATATGAGAGTCTGTAAACCAGAATCCATTGGGCTTGTTGTGATCTGCAAACTGAAGCCTCAGAACTCAGAATGGAAGGCAGCATTGGTTGCTGGGGGGACGGGGGGGACGGGACCTCACAGCACTTCACTGTCTGGGGAGAGTAATTTTTGGAGTACCTATCTGTCTTCATCCTGTTCAGCCTGCTGTTATTTTGATTACCGAGCAGCTGCAAAAGGAGCTTCTGTGCAGAAAAGTGAACATTATTCTCATCTTGGCTAACTAAATATTTCTGAAGCCTGCTGTGCTAACGACGCAAAAAGCTAGCTGGTGCTGCTTTAGCCCAGATGGAGCCTTACCTTGGTGGTGTCACCAGGTTGATTCATTGGCTTTGGCAGAAATCATTTTCTTGCAGCCTTAGCAAGATTTAGCTGTACTGTCTCATCAAGATGTGAAACCATACAGTTATTCTGTTCAGTGGAGCACAAGGCAAATCTGGTTGCTCATCCTTGTCAAGGAAGGTCAGGTATGCTGTAGAGCATAATCTGCCTGTTGGTTACAAGCTACAGCTTCAGCTAATGTGCTACATGTGGTGGTTATTGTGCCCTTAAAATGCTGGAGTCTACTTCAGGTTAAAGTGAGGCATCATAATATGAAGCCTCTGACCTGGCTAGGGAAATCTCTGAGTAGTATGGTAAAATACTGGGCACAACAGAATGAAAATGCTTAAATCGTTTGGAATAAGTGCCTCACACTTATTGTTCTCATTAACAAAAGAAACTCTCCAAGATTAATAATTCTGGGCTTAATAGTTGGGAACATACTGTGGTTAGAGCTTTACAAATCATGATATATGGTCTTACATCCCCAAGATACTTCTGTGATATTGCTACGCTGTAGCCTAATGCGAACAGATAGTTTCTACAGGCAACACAAAAGTAAGTAGAGCTGCTATACATGTGGTATAATTTCAAAAACTGCTGGGAAAGGGCTTGGAAAGAGATCAACTCTGCATTAGCCATGATTTAGCTTTTTTAGGCTACCAAAATGCCACCATTTCAGTAAATGGACTGGGGGGGGGGGAAGCCCCTTTCCAAAAATACACATAGAAGCTAGTGAAAGAAATGGTGTTACAAAAAGGTTTTTAAAAATTGAATTTGGAATCAGCTGTGTTCAGCTGGAGTGCATTTTCAAAAAATAAAAGAGACAGTGGAGTCAACTGTTCCTAAAAGGGAAGGCTTTAGAAAAAAGCCGTTTTCTAATTCCTGGCTCCATCATGAAAGGCAAGGGCAGAGATCAATGTACTTATTATGCTAAATGACATGGAGAACTGAAGTGGTAGAATGCTGGACTGTTCCACTTCATACTGCGTGTGTGTGTGTCATATATGTTCCTAAATGTAATAAGCTCTCTGCTTGTAATGAAGAAGTACATCAAGGAGAGACTATACTTAACCTTTCTCTCTGTTAAGCTCATGTATTAAATCCAGAGAATATTATCAGTTGGGGGGACATTCAAAATAAGCACCTCTCACTGTATCTAGTTTGGCATAGAAGTCTACTACCACATTCTGTCTAGGGTGTAGATTGGTGTTGGATCACACTTCCAGGTTTTTTTCATGACCCAGTTAAGTCGCTTACAATGGGAATCTTACCTTCCACCAGTTTAGCCATTTGGTTGGCCAAACAGTCTGAGAGCACAAAGTCCCATAATTGATGACAGACATGGAAGAGAAAAGTGAAAGAGGAGAAAGGCTTCCAAAGTACCATTTTTTTCACATTCTTCTTCTGACAAAGGTAGTGCTTCTCCTTTGGATGCAGTTCTCTTGTCATTCTGATCCTCCCCCAATGCTTAGCTTTCAAAATGGTTCAGGTGATACTCTGAGTTTCATGGAAATGACACACATATGACCTGAATCTCCCTTGGGAGACGGCAGGGCTTACCACCAACAGCTGATGGTAATGCCTCTCCAACATAAAACAAAAAGAATTCAGTCAGCCAGGCAGTCAGCTGTTTCTCACAAGGTGCACTGGCATAAGGGGATTGATTTAATTGCTATTTTTCCTCTTTGTACTGGCCTTTGGTTGATCCTGCTCCCTTTAAGTGAGTGGTCTGATGGGAAGTCAGAATTCAAAGAGCTGTGGCAACGGAATGCCCTGTAATTGACACAGCTTATCCATTATCTGTCAGTTTCCATTTTTCCCTGTATGTTCTTTCATAATAATTATGTTATCTTAGTTCTTGACTATCACAGATCCTTGTGGTGTAAACAAAATTGTAGCCTGTCTCCGTTGCTACCTGTAGTTGTACCATCATTCTTGTGGTGCTAGGCCCACAACAGAAACACTGGAGAACCTACAGAAGGAAGTGTCAAACTCAGCCCAAATGGCCAAGCTTGCTTCTCTGGGTCATTATAATACTGCTCATGTTACCTTTTGTAATGGAGAATCCATTGTATGTCTGCATGCTGGCTGAGAAACAAAACCAAAACAAAATGTCATTCTTCGACCCATTCACACTTACAGGTTATGTTTTCAAATATGTGACATTACTCCAGTAATCTGAGAGGAAATTTCTTGAGCAGCTGTTGATCTCAAAAATAGATTTGCAATACAGAAAATGAAACAAGTAGATTGAGTGGCAGCATTCCCCCAAGAGAAGCCCTGTAGGCTTTTCTTTTTGGATCATTATAATGGGGATTTGCCTTCCTATGAGAATCCTGGCTTTATCTGTTCATTCCTCTCCTTTGAAGAGGTGATGGAAAGTTAGATTTCATTCAAAGTTTTATGATACCCTATGTTAACACTGCAGAATACAAATGAAGAATGAATTCTGTGTTAGTATAAAACCAGTCCCATTTAGAAAATGCAAGAGGCCATGTAATCTATCATGCAATATAAATTTCCACCATGTTGGTTTTCTGTACTGTTACTGGTGACTGTGCATGTACTCTTGGCCACATGTTACCATTACTAGTTTTTGCTTTGGATTGATGAGAAAGGAAAGTTAGGTTATGTAGTGTTGAAGGAGAGGGATGTGCCAGTTTGTAATAGGAATTCCCCCTCTGTGTGCACACACACGCACACACACACACAGAGCCCAAAACCCTAGCAGTCTTTCTGCATTTCTGATGCCTGTTCCTCTTCCTGCTGTGGGACCAGTGGGCTGTCACAGGATATAGTAGACGATGTGTTTGCTTCATTCAATGTAGAGCTAAAGAGAAAAAGGAAACAGATAAAATTCAGATTTTGTGCTATTGAAGAGGCCTCACTATGTATGGGAAAGGGCTGTCATTTTGATTCCTAAAAGTAGGCCTATTTTAAAAAGAATAACCAGCTAAAATGCTTTAGAAAGTTATACCTTGAATAAAATATTGTTAGTCTTAAATGTGCCACTGGACTCAAACTTTGTTCTGGTGCTTGAGACCAACACAGCTACCCACCTGAATCTATGCTTCAGTCTTGTCAGAGTACAGGATCTGAACAGGGTTGTCAACTCCAGGTAGAGACATTCCTGGAGATTTGGGGGTAGAGCCTGGGGAGGGGAGGATCTGGAGAGGGGAGGGACCTCCGTGGGGTATAATGCCATAAAGGCCACCCTCCAAAGCAGCCATTTTCTACAGCTGAACTTATCTCTATAGACTGAAAATCAAGCGTAATTTCAGGAGATAGCCAGGCTCCACCTGGATGTTCAAACAATTACAAAACCAAATTGTGTAAAAACTGGCTAAATATAAAGTAGAAAAATATCTTAGAAAATCAATAACATGCAAAACTGGTAATTTACAAAATCCTCAATACAATCATTACATATACATACACGATTTGTTTAGGAGTTTGAAACAGGTAAGTCCACTTTGGTGGGGTTTTTTACCCCTCACTTTTTAAATGAAACTCCCACTCACGATTCTACGGATAGCCGGTTATCTCTCTGTTTCAAATATTCTTTTCCAAGAATCGCTCTTCTCTTGGTCTTTAATCTTCAAGTGATACAAAATGCTTTTCTTAAGCTATCTTTAGTCGCAAGATGACTTTACAGTGAACAGAGATTCAAATCAGCAATTCAACGGAATGCAAATCTACAGAATATCATATGAAGCTTCAAATCATGCCAATTGGGATATAGTGTTCTCAGCCATTTGAGTTTCATTTAAAAATGCCCCCCCCACACACACAATTGGACTTACCTGTTTCAAATCAAGTAGTCATAATAGTATGGTGGAGAAATAATGAAGTTCCTAAACAGTCATTTATATTTAGCATGGTGGAGAAATACTGATATTTTTCTATAATATATGTAGCCAGTTTTTACATGGTGTGGTTTTGTTATTGTTTGGACTTACCACCGTGTTCCCTGTATATATCAATCCACTTGGATGTTGGCAGTCTTACTTCTGAATACCAGCTGAAAGAACTGAATGGCCATTCAATGAATTATATCAAAGATCCTCAGGCCAAAAAAAAGTACATTCCAAAATCTGATAACCTTCTACCTTCCACTTCCTTCTTCAATATACAGAAGACACATTCATATTTCTACTCTTCATTATTTCCACGTCACCTTTCAGGAAGACTTTAGTTTAGGAGTGAATAATGTCGCAATGGGAGACAGAATATATTTCTACTCTTCATTATTTCCACGTCAACAGAAGAAACAGAGTTTCTTCACCTTTCAGGAAGACTTTAGAGTTTAGGAGTGAATAATATCGCAATGGGAGACAGAACAGAGACATTCTAGTTTGGTACCTTGCCCGGCTGCTGGAAGCCTCCTGTGGTGTATCACTGCCTCCTTCGGGTTTAGGGTCAGGCAGCGGAATGATATAATCATTGTCCACTCCATTCTGTTCAACAGTTGTATACAGGACAGAACCTAAATTGGGTGTGTAGTTAGCATTGAACGTGGAATTGTTGAGTCCTACATTCCTTGGCCTTGTGCGGACAACGGCAGGATGGTCACTCTTCAAGAATTCTTCATTGACTTGTTGGTACTTCTGCGCTCATATAAAGCAGATAGAATGGAAATGGCTTGTGAGTATATAAAAGCAACATGGAATATTTCTGAACTCTCATTCATAAACAGGAATCCTCAGACAAACACAGCAAATTCTTGGTACCACAGTGTAGTAAATACTGTCAGGTTATGGAATTTTTATTGCTTTTATATTTTGTTTCTTGATTGGGGTCAAAGCCATTAAAACACTATGGTTGCAACTCTAAATATAGTTCCTTAAAAGTACAGCACTTTTCTTCACCACTTGTTAATGTCTAGCATTACAGGATTGTGAACACACTGTTCAATGGGACTTAACACTGATCAATGGGATCAGGATCTACGTCTTGTACACAATTCAGCACAGGGAAGGTAAATGTAGACAGCTTATTTTCAAGTATCTTCACTGTTTTGGAATGTATAGTGTAATCTAGTTTGTGATGTGTAATTGCAGATTGTTAATGTTAGTATTACCAGTTGCCTAGCAAAGTGTGAACAAGAGTAGGCCCTATATTTTAATCTACCACTCAAAAACTGGTGACTATGTTAAAGGGCTGTTAGGGGGGAAAACTGAATGTAGAAGTTTGGTGGCCAAAGAAAACACTGGGGCAACAGTGCAGATCTGGCATTTCAGCTGTATGTATATCTCACTAGTTTATAAGTTTCCAGAAATGCAACTGAATACTTATAATGCTGTTTCCAGAGTAAACAGGTTGTATACCTGCACAGCAAAACAGGGCAGAAATGGCTTGGTTGGGTTTTGCGTGATTGTAGTGTAGTGGTTGGACTAGGATCTGGGCGTAGTGGTTGGACTAGGATCTGGGAGACCCACTCGACTGTGGGTGCTCACTGGGTGACCTTGGGACAGTAACAGTGTAACCCACTTCACAGACTTGTTGTGAGGATAAAATGGAGGAAAGAATGATGTAAGCTGTTTGGAACCTCTGTGGGGAGAAAGATGGGGTATAAATGAAATAGATAAGGATTTTGCATAGCAAACCAGCACACTCTTAACAGCCTGAGCCAATGGGGAATGCCAGTATCATGTCTGAGCTGCAAATGGCACAGAAGCCAGGAACACACAGAAAGCACCATAATGATCGACTCCCTCCTTTCCAAATTTGTGTATATGTAAAGTTCCATCAAGCTGCAGCTAACTTGTGGTGATCCTATTGAGTTTTCTAGGCAAGTGATTCAGCAGAGGTGGTTTGCCATTGCTTTCCTCTGCAGAGTATTCCTTGATGATCTCCCATTCAAGTACTGATCCTGCTTAGCTTCAGAGATCTAATGAGATCGGGCAGTACTATAACATTCCACATTCCACATCCCCTTTCCAAACGTAACGATCCACATTCCCTAAGTCTGAAGACAAGCAAGATCTTTGCGTCCAGTCTAGACCCTATCATATCAACAGCCACAAACAACATTTGGTTTTGAAACCAGGCCATTCTACTGTACAGTACTGCTCTATCCTTTCAGCTATCCATATTCTACCTTCTTATATGAGTCTGCCAGCAGATTTCCCATGAGCACCACCAGATGAGAGAAAGAAGGTCGGATTTCAAATTTTTCTTCCCAGCATTTCTGCATGATCTCATAGCTGAAGAGACATGAAAGAAAGAACAACACTATATTCAGGAAATGCTATACTGGGAGAAACATGGGCTATTTTTCCCTTGTATGAAAGGCAAACACATGCTGTAAATACTCACATCTCATTAGATGCATGCGTAGGCTTGGCCATCCGATAGCCATGTTTGATGGCGTTATAGAATTGTTCATTCATGGGCAATTCAGGGTACGGAGTCCCACCTATAAGTTAAAAAAAAAAATTAATGGGAAAGCTTCTCATACTGCATTCCAGTGTCATCCCTCCATTATCTATTCCCATTCCTTAGCACCAATGGCTATGGCAAATGCCCACTCCCAATGTGAGAGATGAAGGACTCAAGATGGCAATCAATGCACTTATAGAAGGAATAGCAACAAGGAGGCCATTTCTTTATGTAGACTGTGGTGACCCACACAGTTTCAAACTAGACTAAGTGATGTGAGACCAATGATGCTTACCCAGAGTAAATATTTCCCAGAGAAGGATCCCAAAGGACCACACATCACTCAAAGTAGTGTAAAGGTTGTTAAAGATGCTCTCAGGTGCCATCCATTTCAAAGGCAAGAAGGTCTGTATGAAAAGACATAGAAGAAATGCTTTTTCAAGGCGTTGGTCAAGAATTGTCCCTTCTTTGCCAACAAGGAAGGTTTTCCCTGTGACTCTTAATAGAGACTCATTCTGCAAGCATGAAGAGAGCAATCACTTTTTTCTGTAAAGGACTTGATCTCCACTTATGAAGATAAGCTGCTCTTTTCAACATTACTCAATAGAACAGCAAAGTTTATTTCCGGTTAGCACCCAAAGGAACTGCATTTTCATTAGGGCTTCACTGGTTCCACCATTGAGGAGACATCTTGGCCCATTTAATCTAAGGAACAAATGTTACCAAATTCTGTCTTGCAAATGAAGCCTCTTTGAATAACAAGTCCAACAGAAAAAGGTCATTCTAAACCCGCTCTTCATGCTGTTAATGCAGACTGGTTGAACTAAGTTTTGCTGAGCTGGGTTGGTATTACATGAGGAGCCATATCCTGTTGTGGATTGTGAAGAGCTACAGGAGGATCTCCCTAAATGGCGAGAGTAAGCAACAACCTGGTAAATCAACATCAGTGTTGGTAAGTGTCCTGTCCAGCGCCAGCTGCAGCTAGTCAACAGCTTCTAGGTATGAGTCAACACACTCCTGAAGAAGGCTTAAATCATCTTTATTTAACTCCACATGCATTCAGAAGATCATTTACTCACAATCAGGCTGATAGCTGGGTAGAGAAGTTACACCTTTGTGATCTAAGTCAATTCTATGGCCATGGTGAGAAAGAGATGAGTTTACCCTTCTCATTCAGGGTAAGGATTAGACAAAGAAGCAGGAAAAGAGCGATAAAACTCCAATCTTTGCACTTCTGAGCTCAGGAAATTACCCCAATGAGCCAGTCAGAGGGAAGCTGCTGGGATCCCTAACTGAGAAGTACAATTCCCAGGTGCAACTAGTCTTAAAGGTACACAGCAGTTTTACCAAATTACTACTGCCTACAGTTAACACTTACTGGGGGCAGCACAGTAAGGATAAGGTGATACATATTGGAAAATAAAACCCTAAGTTTAAATATGTGCTAATGGGGGTCTAGTGTTGCCATGTTGCCTGCTATGGCAGGCAACCTTCTGCCTTTGGACTCTGCATTCCCGCTGCTACTCGATGGAGCAGTAGGAGCAAAATGGGGTGGGTGACAATGTAGTACAATAAAAATGTTGACCCAGTGTGGGGCAGTATCAAAAAAGGCAAATTCTGTGCTAGGGATTATTAGGAAGAGGATTGAAAATGCAACAGTGAAAATTACAATTCTCTTTTATAGAGTTATGGTGTTGCCCCATATACAGTCCGGATTGGCGTATCTCAAAAAGGAAATTGAGGAACTGGAACTAGTACAGACGAGGGCAATAAAGATGATTCAGAGGTTGGAACACCTCTACTATGAGGAACAGTTAAAGAATCTGGGACTTTTCGGTCTTCAAAAAAAGAAAGCTAAGAGGGAACATGAAGAAGGTTTATAAAATTATACTTGGGGTTAGAAAGTAGAGAGAGCTTTTTCTCCCTACCCCATAGTAATAGAACCTAAAGGTACCCAATGAAATTGATGGGCAATAGCTTTAGGACAGACAAAAGGAAATATCTCTTTACTCAACAAGAAATTTATTTGTAGAATCTAGTATGTAGTGAAGGCCATGAGTGTCGATGTATTTAAATGGCAGTTAGACAGAATCATGGAAGAGAGGTCTCTCAGTGGCTCCTACCAACATTATGTTGGAAAATTGGTAAAAATTGTGAGATATTCAGAGCTTGCAATGGATCTTTGTCCCCTGGGGGGCAGGCATTTTCTTTCTGTGTAAAAAAAAACTTCATTCCTAAATTCCCCTTGTACATGGGAAATTTGCAAAACAACAAACACTTAGGACTACATGCTTGCAACAACAGACAGACAAGTTGGTAATGGAGATTCTTCTTTCTTCTTGACCCCTAGAAGGAAATCACCTGAATGCATTAACCAATGATTGCTAGTAAATAGACTCCAGTTTCTGGGCTTTCTACCCATTGGCTTTGTGCCAGGTTCCCTTCCAGGTCAATCTAAACAATAGCACACAAGGTAAATACATTAACCCTATAATGACTGAATTTAGACCTTGCAACACACATATTTCCAACACACTGAAGAAACCATCATAATGTAGAGGCAGCAAACATATGAATAGCAGCGCTGGGAAGCAGCATCAGGGAAGTCCGTGGCCTCTATGCCCTGTCTGCTGGCCCTCCAGGGCAACTGGTTGGCTGTTTTGAGAAACAGTATTCTGGATTAGATGGCCCAATGGTGATACAGCAAGGCTCTTCTTACATTCTACATTTCCAGTAAATGGGCTTATGAAGCAATGAAACAGGTACTATTCTACTTGACTTATACAAATAGATCTAATATCTTTATTAATCTAATATGCAATAGGGAGAGTGGGGCCACATACACAAACTTCAGGGAGAGCAAGCAACATGAACACATTAGTTTCCCTCACTCCCTGCACAATGGGGATTTGGAAAGAAGGTAATCTGATAGGTACATTGGGCTTGCATCTTTAGCTGTGGTTGGGAGACAGCAAGAAGATAAGGCAGGCATGGAAGTGCTGGCGTAATATGTTCCTGGCAATCTCTATCTAAAAGAGAACCACCAAGTTCTGCATCCGTTGAAACTTCCAGGTAGTCATACATAAGAGTAGCACCACATGAAGGAGGTTGCATTAGTTTAGCCGACATCTAACTGGGTTGGAGTTTACCTTGAATAAGAGATGGGGATTCTGACTTTCTAACTTGAAGAAAAGAAGGGACACTTCAGAAACAAAATTGAAAGAATATGAGAAAAGTCAAGAGATTAGCAATTACTGTATCAAAAACTACTACTTCAACAAGCTGATCAGAGGTCATTTCGGGGGGGAACGCGGGGGAACGCAGTTCCCCCAGGTGAGGTACAGGGGGTGGGGCACATGACGAAGCCCCGCCCCCTGCTTCCGCCCGCTCCGCTTCCGGCCCTCATTCAGCCAGGAGGAGGCAGGAGAAGAGGGAGCTTAAGTTGCTTCCTCCCTGCCTCTCCCCACCCCTGCCTGCCTGGGGCCAGGGAGAGCCTTCGTGGGGCTTCCTTGCACTCCCGCCGGCCTTTCAGGTCCACCGCCGGGCCCCTCATGGGGCTCGGCAGTGGAGCTGCAAGGCCGCCGCCGGCAGCGGCCAGGACCGTTGGGGGTGGGGTGTGTGGCCTTATGACACAGTTCCGGTGATGTCAGGGCGTGTGGCATATGCTAATGAGTTATGCTAATGAGTTCCCCTAGCTCCTTTTTCTACGAAATGACCCCTGAAGCTGATAGTAAACATATTTTGCTGATTCTTAAACCCAAATAGTGAGTTTTCAGCAGCCTGACCTGGACACTGAATACATCAAAGTGCTGTCAAGTGAGAAGCAGAGTGGTTTGCATTGCCTTCTTCTGCAGAGTACAAACCCTGCTTAGCTTCCAATATCTGATGAGATCAGGCTATACTATGCCACCTTCCCTCCCAAAATCACATCTTAAAAACCATTAAAATCAACAAAAATCATTAAAACAATTACAACCAAAGCTAAAATACACATACAAAAACATCAAAACAACAAAACAAAGCACAGGAAGGAGGGATCACTGAAGAAATGGCAAACAAAACAAAAAAGTCCTCCCCCACCAGCAGTAGATGGCAACAGAAGGGAACAGATGAACGTCCCTGTGGGAGATTTCCAGACTTTTGGTGCCATGACCAACAAGGCCCTCTTCTCCCAGGTTGCCACCAGCCTAATCTCATATTGTGTTGCCAGTTCTGTGTTGGGAAATTCCTGGAGATTTGGAGGCAGAGTCTGGAGAGGGGAAGGATCTCAACAGGGTTGTGATGTCATACAGTCCTCCCTACAGAACTGCCATTTTCTCCAAGGGTACTGATCTCTGCAGTCTGGAGATCAGTTTATAATTCCAGGATAACTCCTGTCACCACCTGGAGGATGGCATCCCTAGTCTCCAAAGGCAGGGGGCCCCAAAGCAGGGCTTCGGAATATGATCACAGCAGTGGGGTAGGTTCATAAGGGATTATGTGATTCTTCAGGTATGTTGGTTCAAAGCCATATAGGGCTTTAAAGGTCAATACCTGTACCTTGAATTGTGCTCAGTAACAAATTGGGAACCAGTGTAGATCAGCCAAGACTGGAGTGATATGGTCCTTATAATGGTAGAATCCATTCCAGTCAACATCTTGGCTCTAACATTCTGAACCAGTTGATACTTCTGAACACTTTTCAACAGCAGCCCCATGTACAGTGCATTGCAGTAATCTAATCTAGACAGAACTGTGGCATGGACAACAGTGACCTAGGCAAGGATGAAAGAAAACCTGAAAGAAGTCTCAGGATTGTAGGGAATAAAGTACATCAGGGGATTAAAACTCCCCAAAATAACAGAAACAACTCCTATATAGCTTTAAGAAAAGAATATCCACTGAACTCTCAGTGGCTGGTAGGGTTGCAGGGCAAAACCAACACTGGCCCTGTTTGCATGAGGGGTTTTGGGCCAGGAGCGGGACGGATCGGGGGCGGAGCAAATGGGCGCGATCCCACGGCAACATCTGGGAATCGTTGCCTGTCCGTCCCCGATCCGTCCCTCCCGCCCAAAACCCTGCACTAAAAAAGAACCACCTACCTAGGTGGTTCTTCGGAGAAGAGCGCCTCACGCCTGGCCATAGGATCGCTGGCGCGTCCTTGCACCGGCGCATCCCCGCCCCCCGGGCGTACTGCGCATGCTCGAGCATGCGCAGTTCGACAACCTCCCCCTCCCATTCGTCTCTTCCTCCCCGGCATCTGATCATGCCAGGGAGCGCCGCGCCGCGGCTCAGGGGATCCGTGGGATCCCGCCGCGGCGTCTCAACTTTGGTGCAGCTTTTAAAAGCCGCACTTTCCCCAGTGTTTTCCCTGCCGTGTGGCAGGGGCCACTATTTCCAAGCCTTCCAAGTTTTGGTTTTGGTAAGG